CCCGCTCTTACTTCCGCGGAGTTGTTCTTTGACCTTACCTGTCCTCTATCCAGCGGTGCGCTGTCTTCCCGGCTTCTGTAGTGTGGGCGCTGGGCTTGACAGCCGGGTGCCAAGTGCACATGCACAAGAAGCGGTGCTTTTTGTGAATGGTAAAGGCGGTACCTGGGACACATGACAGATCCCAAAAGCCGCCGGACCAATCACAAAGCGCAAGTGCTTCTCGCTCATGCACACTGGGCACCCGGCTGTCATGCCGAGCGCCAACACTATAGAAGCCGGGAAGACAGCGCGCGGCTGGATTGGGAACAGGTAAGATCAAAGAACAACTCCGCGGAAGTAAGAGCGGGTACCTGTCAAATTCAGGTACCCGCTCCCCCCCCTCCCCAAAGGTCAGCAGTCATCTCCTGTGCTGTCCGCAGTCTCTGGTCATCCCTGCGCTGTCCGCAGTCTCTGGTCATCCCTGCGCTGTCCGCAGTCTCTGGTCATCCCTGCGCTGTCCGCAGTCTCTGGTCATCCCTGCGCTGTCCGCAGTCTCTGGTCATCCCTGCGCTGTCCGCAGTCTCTGGTCATCCCTGCGCTGTCGCAGTCTCTGGTCATCCCTGCGCTGTCCGCAGTCTCTGGTCATCCCTGCGCTGTCCGCAGTCTCTGGTCATCCCTGCGCTGTCCGCAGTCTCTGGTCATCCCTGCGCTGTCCGCAGTCTCTGGTCATCCCTGCGCTGTGCGCAGTCTCTGGTCATCCCTGCGCTGTGCGCAGTCTCTGGTCATCCCTGCGCTGTGCGCAGTCTCTGGTCATCCCTGCGCTGTGCGCAGTCTCTGGTCATCCCTGCGCTGTGCGCAGTCTCTGGTCATCCCTGCGCTGTCCGCAGTCTCTGGTCATCCCTGCGCTGTCCGCAGTCTCTGGTCATCCCTGCGCTGTCCGCAGTCTCTGGTCATCCCTGCGCTGTCCGCAGTCTCTGGTCATCCCTGCGCTGTCCGCAGTCTCTGGTCATCCCTGCGCTGTCCGCAGTCTCTGGTCATCCCTGCGCTGTCCGCAGTCTCTGGTCATCCCTGCGCTGTCCGCAGTCTCTGGTCATCCCTGCGCTGTCCGCAGTCTCTGGTCATCCCTGCGCTGTCCGCAGTCTCTGGTCATCCCTGCGCTGTCCGCAGTCTCTGGTCATCCCTGCGCTGTCCGCAGTCTCTGGTCATCCCTGCGCTGTCCGCAGTCTCTGGTCATGTCCGCAGTCTCTGGTCATCCCTGCGCTGTGCGCAGTCACCGCAGTCTCTGGTCATCCCTGCGCTGTGCGCAGTCTCTGGTCATCCCTGCGTACTGTGCGCAGTCTCTGGTCATCCCTGCGCTGTGCGCAGTCTCTGGTCATCCCTGCGCTGTCCGCAGTCTCTGGTCATCCCTGCGCTGTCCGCAGTCTCTGGTCATCCCTGCGCTGTGCGCAGTCTCTGGTCATCCCTGCGCTGTGCGCAGTCTCTGGTCATCCCTGCGCTGTGCGCAGTCTCTGGTCATCCCTGCGCTGTGCGCAGTCTCTGGTCATCCCTGCGCTGTGCGCAGTCTCTGGTCATCCCTGCGCTGTCCGCAGTCTCTGGTCATCCCTGCGCTGTCCGCAGTCTCTGGTCATCCCCTGCGCTGTCCGCAGTCTCTGGTCATCCCTGCGCTGTCCGCAGTCTCTGGTCATCCCTGCGCTGTCCGCAGTCTCTGGTCATCCCCTGCGCTGTCCGCAGTCTCTGGTCATCCCTGCGCTGTCCGCAGTCTCTGGTCATCCCTGCGCTGTCCGCAGTCTCTGGTCATCTCCTGTACTATGTCTGCAGTCCATTAGTTCAGAATTTTTTTTTTCCTGTTTTCTGCCTCTAAAACCTAGGTGCGTCTTATGGAGCGAAAAATACGGTACCTCCTGCATACATTAACATAGTAAGGAGTCCTTTTGGTGTGTAAAGTGGTCTTATCACTGGCCTGTCAGTATGTGTTTCAATGTCTTCAATATATATATTACACACAATATACTACAGTTGCGCCATTTCTCTTTAGGCCAGTCAATGTGCTCTTTGGCAAATTGTAACCTCTTCAGCACATGTCTTTTTCTCAACAGTGGGACTTTGCGGGGGCTTCTTGCAGATAGCTTGGCTTCACATAGGCGTCTTCTAATTGTAACAGTCCTCACAGGGAACTTTACACCTTCTTTCATCTTCCTGGAGCTGATTGTTGGCTGAGTCCTTGCCATTTTGACTGTTCTTCTTTTCGAATGGTAGTTTTTCGCTTTCTTCCACGTCTTTCAGGTTTTGGTTGCCATTTTAAAGCATTTGCGATCATTTTAGCTGGCAGCCGATCATTTTCTGCACTTCTTTATATGTTTTCCCCTCTCCAATCAACTTTTTAATCAAGGTACGCTGTTCTTCTGAACAATGTCTGGAACGACCCATTTTCCTCAGAATTTCAGAGAGCAATACACTGTAACCAGCATGTACAACATTTTCTGCTTCCTTAACCACTTGCCTACCAGGACTTATACCCCCTTATTTACCAGGCCAATTTTCAGCTTTCAGCGCTGCCGCACTTTGACAATTGCGCGGTCATGCAACATTGTAACCCATATGAAATTTTGATCATTTTTTTCTCACAAATAGAGCTTTCTTTTGGTGGTATTTAATTGCCACTGGGCGCTTTACTTTTTGCGCTATAAATAAAAAAAGTGCAAAAAATTTGAAAAAAAAAAAAGTTTCTTTGTTTCTTTTATAAAATTTTTCAAGCAGGTATTTTTTCTCCTTCACTGATGTGCGTTGATGAGGCAGCACTGATGGGCACTGATAGGCACTGATAGGCGGCACTGATAGGTGACACTGATGGGTACTGATAGACGGCACTGACTGGCATCACTGCTGGGCACTGACTGGCGGCACTGACTTCCCCTGGGCTGACTGGTGGCACTGACTGGCAACTGCTGGGCTGCACTGGTGGGTGGGCACAGATGGGTGGCACTGGTGGGCACAGGTGGGTGGCACTGCTGGGCACAGGTGGGTGGCACTTCTGGGCACAGTAGGTGGCACTGCAGAGTGGCACAGGTGGGTGCACTGCTGGGGGGTGGGGGGGAGCGGGCGCACTGCTGGGCACAGGTGGGCGGAACTTGCGGGTGGCACTGCTGGGCACCCGATCATCAGGGCACTGATCATCTTGCCCTGATGATCGGTGCCGATCCCTGCTTGACAACTGCCGGTTCTCCAGTACTTTTCCATGTGACAGCATGAGGAAAGTGCAGCCGAGAACCGTGCGCTTGCATTTCCTTCCCTGGCGTGTCATTCTGATCAGTGTAAAAGGCCGCTGTGATTGGCCTTTTACCACATCACGTGATCAGCTGTGTCCGTAGGACACCGATCATGGAGATCGCCAGGTGCGCGCCCCCTGGGGCGCGCAGGGAGAGCGCGTTCTGGGAGGACGTCATATGACGTCCACTGCTGGCCGGCCGCAGTGCAGCCGTCATTCGGCTATCTGCGGTCGGCAGCTAGTTAAATAATCCCACCTGTTTTTCAAAGAATGAATGCCCTCACTAATAGAACTCCACACTGCAATTATTTTGAACATGCCCCTTTCAATGAGTGATTCAATTACACAGAATCAGCAGCATGGTCATGACTGTTGGGTCTGATTTCACATTACTCTACTACACCTGCCAGTAAATTATTTGCCAGAAATATTTTCCACCAAAAACAGTGATTGCCAGGTTAGTGATGTCTGACTGCTATTATTTTGAACACAAGTGTGTGTGTGCTGTGTATGTGTGTGCTAATAGCCATTAGGTGCTAAAGGGCTGTGTTACCTCATGTTGAAACTAAAATTCTGGATGAATCCTTTGCAAACTGGTATAAACCTTTCTAGTAAACTTTGCACAAAAAAGGATTTTTTTGTTTACATACAGCACAATACATGTTTAGACTGGCAAGTAATCCCTCCCTGGCCAGTCCCTACTAAGGTATTGGGATTTGAGCACAGGTATATCTTCTTTCTATTCCATAGTAGGGGTAGGTACAGTGATAGGCTGTGTGGTAGGGGTAGGTACAGTGATAGGCAGGGGTAGGTACTCCTAGCGAGTGATAGGCTCCATAGTAGGGGTAGGTACAGTGATAGGCTGTGTGGTAGGGGTAAATACAGATAGGTTTCCTAGCAGAGTGATAGGCTCCATAGTAGGGGTAGGTACATAGGCTGTGTGGTAGGGGTAGGTACAGTGATAGGTTTCCTAGCAGAGTGATAGGCTCCATAGTAGGGGTAGGTACAGTGATAGGCTGTGTGGTAGGGGGTAGGTACAGTGATAGGTTTCCTAGCAGAGTGATAGGCTCCATAGTAGGGGTAGGTACAGTGATAGGCTGTGTGGTAGGGGTAGGATACAGTGATAGGTTTCCTAGCAGAGTGATAGGCTCCATAGTAGGGGTAGGTACAGTAGGGTGGTAGGACAGAGCAGATATAGGCTTCTTGGTAGAGGCTGTGTGGTAGGGGTAGGTACAGTGATAGGCTTCCTAGCAGAGTGATAGGCTCCCATAGTAGGGGTAGGTATAGTGATATGGTAGGGGTAGGTACAGTGATAGGCTGTGGGTAGGTACAGTGATAGGCTGTGTGTAGGGGTAGGTACAGTGATGGGCTTCCTAGCAGGGGTAGGTATAGTGATAGGCTCCATAGTAGGGGTAGTGTACAGCAGACTGATAGGCTCCATAGTAGGGGTAGACAGAGTGATAAGCTTCTTGGTAGAGGTAAGCAAAGTAATAGGCTCCCTTGTAGGGGTAGGCAGCATGATAGGCACCATAGTAGTGTGGTAGGCTCTCTAGTAGGGGTAGGTAGAGTGAAAGGCTCCATAGTAGGGGCTGAGTGGAGTAATAGGCTATGTAGTAGCGGCAGGCAGAGTAATAGTCTCCACAATAGCAATAGACTGTGATAGGTTATTTGCGGTGCCCATATTCATCCAGAAGATGTCAGTGGATTCACCTGCTATCTTTCTTTTTTTTTTTCTTCTTCCCATCATATTACCCAGGCTGTGTCACAACAAACAGACCAAAGTCTACCTACCTGAGCCACCTTTTCCTCATGCTGAGGTGAGAAATCCATTCTACTGGAAAGGTAACTTCATCAGTAAAATGACAGTGGTCTGTATTCAACCTAAACCAGCAAATAAGGGTATTGTGTGAAGGACTGAGAGGAACGAACAGCTCTTTAAAGTGAAAATAAAATCCTCCTATCCTTTACAGCAGCTGTCTCCAGCCTTTTTGGCACCAGGGACCACTTTTGTGGAAGACAGTTTTTTCCATGGACCAGGGGGGGGATTGTGTGGTTTAAGGTATATGGCTTGCCTCCAGATGGCTAATATAGACTGCACATGGTTTATTGCATTGTAAAATCTCTGCCATCACAAGAACACGCATTTTATCATAGCCCCCCACACCAAATCACATGTGTAGCAGCATGAATGAATGTACAAAACAGAAAAAGGGAGTCATGTGATGCGCTGAATTGCGCACCACACTGCTCCTAACCGCAACCAGGAACAGACAGCTGCCGGAGCGGCAAAGCACTCCAGCATCTGTCCGTTTCAATGTGATCTGTGTGGCATGGTTCCTAACGGGCCATGGACCAGTACTGATCTGCAGCCCAGGTGTTGGGGACATTTGCTGTACAGCCAAGGAAACTGCCATTTTAGCCTCTGTTTGATTGGTAGTTGCCATGGTGCTGCACTTGTAATCAGTTATGACACCAGCCATTTTATGGCTTGACAGCTCAGTCGAGAGCAGAAACAACTGTGACAGTTTTTGTTCATGGCTTGACTTGAATGTAACTGCTTTGGGAAGTATGGCATTGCCTTCTTTAACCATTTCAATGACACTAGAGGGGACAGGAGCATCTTGTGTCCTAGCAGTGAAGGGCACTAGGTAGCACACTGCTTCCTAGCGACAAAGGAAGTTATGCATGAGGAGCTGACAGTGTCCTAATGGCAAAGGATGCTAGGCAGCAGTGGATGCTTTCATCCTAGCAATGATATACACTCGACAACAGGAGCTGCCTGTGTTCTGGAAGCAAAAGATGCTAGGCAGAGTCCTGCATCGCTAGGTGACATCCTAGCAACAAAAGATTCTAGGCAGCAATAGCAACCTGCCTCCTATTAACAAATGATGCTCAGCAACATTAGCTACCTCTGTCCTAGCAACAACAGATGCTAGGCGGTAGGAGCCACCTGTGTCCTAGAAACGAAGGATGTAGGCGCGAGAGTCCCTTGTGTCCTAATGAGGAAGGACATTTGGCAACAGGAGTTGCCTGCATCCCTAGATGAAGGAAATTAGGTTGCGGGAGCCACCTGAATCCTAGGTGCTAGATGGCAATAGCTGCTTACATCTTGGCAACAAAGATGCTGCAGCTGCCTGCATTCTGACAATGAAGGATACAAATTGGTAGGAGCCACCTTTTCCTAAAAACAGAGGATGCAGGGTTGTAGAAGCTGCCTGCATCCTAACAACAAAGGACACTGGGTGACAGGAGCAAAGAAAGGCAATAGGCAGCATCTACTTCCTACAGGAAAAGAATCTAGGCCCGATGAGCCATATGTGTTCCAGCAACGAAGGTTGGCATGCAGCAGGTGCCGCCTGTGGCCTAGAAATGAAGGACGCTAAATGGCGATAGCGTCACTCACTCCAGGACAATTCAGTGCTGGAATACTGTACCCAAATGAATGATTTATCCTTTTCTGAGACTTTCTTTTTAGTGATATCTAGTAATCACTGTTCTTTTTAATTTATAAAGGAAAAAAGACCAACAATTATGAAAATTAAACTATTTCCTCTGTTTTCTAGTATAAAACATATACAAAATACCAGAACAGTAGGACCCACCCCCCCCCCCCCCCCCCCCCCCCCAAAATGTCCCTGTTTTGGAAAGGGGACAATTGCGATGCATTGCTCCAGGACATTGGTGGTCAGTGACTTTTTAACACCCCCCATCCAAACAGAGTGCACAGATTGATATTTTGGTGTTGCCAAGATTCTATGATTAACCCATGATATCTTCTGTTCTTCATTTCTATCAGCTAATCCAGACTAACAAGCTGAAACATTACCCCAGCATTCACGGAGACTTCAGCAATGACTTCAAGCAGCCGTGTGTAGTGTTCACCGGGCACCCCACCCTGCGATTTGGAGATGTGGTGCACTTCATGGAGCTCTGGGGGAAGTCCAGCCTGAACACCATCATATTTACTGGTATTTAGAGCCTTGCATTGTGCCATCCTATCTGGTCTGATTTCAGTTTCAGGAAGTGTGGACTTCTAGTTCTAGAATGCAATGTCTTAGGTATCTGTTCTGTGTATTTCTCAGTGTGTCATTATTCTGGGACTATCCCAAGTGTCAGCTTGTCATTGATCTGGGACCCCAAATGTCAGTGTGTCATTGATCTGGGACCCCAAATGTCAGTGTGTCATTGGTCTGGGACCCCAAATGTCAGTGTGTCATTGATCTGGGACCCCAAATGTCAGTGTGTCATTGATCTGGGACCCCAAATGTCAGTGTGTCATTGATCTGGGACCCCAAATGTCAGTGTGTCATTGATCTGGGACCCCAAATGTCAGTGTGTCATTGATCTGGGACCCCAAATGTCAGTGTGTCATTGATCTGGGACCCCAAATGTCAGTGTGTCATTGATCTAGGACCCCAAGTATCAGTGTGTCATTGATCTGGGACATCAAAAAGCCAGCGTGTCAATATTCTGGGATTCTCACAAGTGTCAGCGTGTCATTATTCTGGGATTCTCCCAAGTGTCAGTGTGTCATTGATCTGGGACCCCAAATGTCAGTGTGTCATTGATCTGGGACCCCAAATGTCAGTGTGTCATTGATCTGGGACCTCAAATGTCAGTGTGTCATTGTTCTAGGGCAGTGATGGCGAACCCGTGGCACGCGTGCCACAGCCGGCACGCCGAGCCTTATCTGTGGGCACGCCAGGAGAATACCGTATTTTTCGCTCCATAAGACGCACTTTTTTTCCCCCAAAAAAGGGGGGAAAATGTCAGTGCGTCTTATGGAGCGAATATAGAGCGGCCGGTCCGGTATTTCCACCGCCGCCATGTCAGAATACCGGGCCGGCCGCTCAGCTCTGCAGTGGGACCGTACCTGTCCCTCTATCCAGCGGCGCGCTGTCTTCCCGGCTTCTGTAGTGTGCGTGACAGCCGGGTCCCAAGTGCGCATGCGCAAGAAGCAGTGCTCTTTGTGAATGGTAAGGCGGTACCTGGGACACATGACAGATTCCAGAAGCCGCCGGACCAATCACAAAGCGCAGCGCTTCTCGCGCATGCGCACTGGGCATCCGGCTGTCCGACGAGCGCCCCACACTACAGAAGCCGGGAAGACAGCGCGCGGCTGGATAAAGGAAAAGGTAAGATAAAAAAAAAAACTCTGCGGAAGTAAGAGCGGGTACCTGTCAAATTCAGGTACCCGCTCCCCCTCCCTCCCCAAAGGTCAGCAGTCATCGGTACTGTCCGCAGTCTCTGGTCATCCCTGTGCTGTCTGCAGTCTCTGGTCATCTCCTGTACTGTCCGCAGTCTCTGGTCATCCCCTGTACTGTCCGCAGTCTCTGGTCATCTCCTGTACTGTCCGCAGTCTCTGGTCATCCCTGTACTGTCCGCAGTCTCTGGTCATCCCTGTACTGTCTGCAGTCTCTGGTCATCCCTGTACTGTATCTGCAGTCTCTGGTCATCCCTGTACTGTGTCCGCAGTCTCTGGTCATCCCTGTACTGTGTCCGCAGTCTCTGGTCATCCCCTGTACTGTGTCCGCAGTCTCTGGTCATCCCCTGTACTGTGTCCGCAGTCTCTGGTCATCCCCTGTACTGTGTCCGCAGTCTCTGGTCATCATCTCCTGTACTGTGTCCGCAGTCTCTGGTCATCTCCTGTACTGTGTCCGCAGTCTCTGGTCATCTCCTGTACTGTGTCCGCAGTCTCTGGTCATCTCCTGTACTGTGTCCGCAGTCTCTGGTCATCTCCTGTACTGTGTCCGCAGTCTCTGGTCCATCCCTGTACTGTGTCCGCAGTCTCTGGTCATCCCTGTACTGTGTCTGCAGTCTCTGGTCATCCCCTGTACTGTGTCCGCAGTCTCTGGTCATCCCTGTACCGTGTCTGCAGTCTCTGGTCATCCCTGTACCGTGTCTGCAGTCTCTGGTCATCCCTGTACCGTGTCTGCAGTCTCTGGTCATCCCTGTACCGTGTCTGCAGTCTCTGGTCATCCCTGTATAACCGTGTCTGCAGTCTCTGGTCATCCCTGTACTGTGTCCGTAGTCTCTGGTCATCCCTGTACTGTGTCCGTAGTCTCTGGTCATCCCTGTACTGTTAATTAGTTTGCACTACTGTACGAGTTGTTTTTTTTCTAAACCAAAAGCTCGATCATTCAGGTTTCATTGCAGTGTTGGCACTTTGAAAGAAATAAGTTGGTTTTGGGTTGCAGTTTGGGCACTCGGGCTCAAAAAGGTTCGCCATCACTGTTCTAGGGCCTCCCCAAGTGTCAGTGTGTCAATATTCTGGGACCCTCGTGTTGTCAAGTGTGTTTAATGTTCTGGTGCCTCGCCTAGTGTGAGCGAGTTATTGTTCTGGGATGCTGAAATGTCAGTGTGTCACTGTTGCACTCCAAAATACTAATATGTTATTATTCTAAGACCTCCAGCTGTCAGTGCATCATTATTCTCGACCCTATATCATCAGTGTGTCATCGTTCTGGGACCCCCAAATGTCAGTGTATCATTGTTCTAGGACACCCAAATGCCAGTGTCAATTGTTCTGTGATCCCCCGTGTATCACTGTCATTTACCTCAAAATATAAAAGGACTCATTAACTCAACTTACACCCCAGTCACACTGATCCTGAGTTTGAAATCATGCGACTTACAGTGAAGTCACATGATTTCAAATTTGGGTGACATGCCGATTTGAGGTGCGATTTGCATAGAGATCTGACACAGATGTCTATGCAAATTGCACCAAAAGTAATGCATGCACTGCTTTGGAGATCGGTGTGGCTCCCACCAAGTTGGAACTGCACCAATATGACCGCTGTAATTGCAGACAATAGGGTGCTACTTAACATGCAATTTGAAAGTCGCAGGGCATGCAGATCGCATGTCAAGTCGTGACTGGGGTGTTAATTAGCCAATCTGTTTGGTCAACAGAATCCCCTATGCTGCAACAAAATCTTGGAGTCAGACAGTCTCTGGATAGCATTTAATTGGCTGTGCTGTTTTCCTTTTGGCTAAATGGTGTTGTCTTCTCTGGGATTAGCTCATACAGTGTTCCAATGAACATCGCATTTTTTTGGCACCAAAACCACAAAGCTGAAAATGACTGTGCTGAGTTCCCAGTGTCAAAATCCCAAGTACTGTCATTGTTCAGTGAAATGAAAATCCGGATTAGCCATGGTGTAATACTATGATATGTTTTGCATGCAGAGCCAGACTTTTCCTACCTGGATGCCTTGGCCCCATACCAGCCGCTGGCCATGAAGTGCGTTTATTGTCCAATTGACACCAGACTTAACTTCATCCAGGTGACAAAACTGCTGAAAGAAGTTCAGGTGAGTCCATAGATTTAGAGGCACCTGTACCACTTAACTGCAAACCTCGCTGTATCTTGGGAAGGGAACTGCCTGCATCACAAATCCAGCATCCGATGAGTGCTTCATTTTGGGGGGTTGATCCACCCCTTTATAGAGTGCTGTGGACAAGTTACCCATTCTTGTTTCTCTTGGGAGTTCCATTGGTTGGGGTTCCCCATCATAGTTCCCAAAACTTTTTTTTTTTTGTCCTCTTGGATGGCTCCGTAGGAACCAGACAAACTTTGACCGATCTATGGCTGTTCCCGTTTATTGATCGACTTCCTATGAATGGTCCTGTTGGAAAATTTAGTTTTGATCAGGGCAATGCAACCTATTGGCTGCAGCTCTCATCAGTGTATTCTGATATCAGGGGAGTCTCTCCACTGTCAGAATACAAAGACCCAGCATTGAGAATTCCTGCATCCACATCCAATGTGACTGGGGAAATTGTTTTTGTTTTGTTTTTTGTTCAGCCCTCTGGCCGTATGAAAAAACCTGAATCGTGTATGCCTAGCTTTACTTCTCATAATAGCTGATTTCTGTTGCATTCCCAATAATAAAGAAAATAGATTAAAGTATAACAGGGATAGAAGGACCTTTTTGTATTGGCTGCCGCAAATGTGTAGATTTAGGAGCTCGAGCACAAACATATCTCATTACTAGTGTCCTTAAGAGACCACAACCATTAGGTGATGCAGCTCCCCTTGTGAAATAGGAGCTTTGGATGAATGGACCCTTTTACCTAATAGGAATACTGCCCTCTAACTTTCATTGTGTTGGCTTTGTCTTGCAGCCTCTGCATGTAGTATGTCCCGAGCAGTACACTCAGCCACCAGCTGCCCAGTCCCATCGCTCTGACCTCATGATAGACTGCCAGCCTCCCCCCATGTCATACCGCCGTGCTGAGGTGCTCGCCCTCCCCTTCAAGAGGCGCTATGAGAAGATCGAGGTCATGCCAGAGGTGAGTGCTACACAATCTCTATATCTGTATGTTTGCATAATTTTTGTAAACAAGACAAATAATGTGCCATTTTAATCACTGGTGAACAGACGAGGAGGGAGATATCTATAGGATGTAAAAATAGAAAAGCCTGCTTTGTATTTCATGGTCATGCTCTCATTGTAAATAGCAGCATGAATGGAAAAGGAAGAAAAGCCTGTACGGAAAAAAGTTATTAGGTGGAACTTCACCCTAAAAGAGACATTCCGCTTTATGTCCTCCTCTCCTCTACCACTTTTGGCTCTTTATTTTTTATTTCGGATGGGGGGGGGGGGGGGTACCTGGTTTTGTTAGGTACCTGCTCCCACTTCTTCTGGAATTGCCTAGGCAATTCCACCAGAAGTTCTCCCCCCTCCTGACTCTGCCCACAACCTTATGGGACATTTCACAGGTCCCAGGAGGCTGTGGGTCCATTCACATAGTACAGCTTGTGCAGTGGGAAGCCATCTGTGAGGCCATTAGGAATCACAACTGCCTTCCCAACGTAAACATGCTGAGGACCAGCGATGAACCAGCCTGGGTGAGGACAGTGCTGGATCCCTGGACAGGTAATTGTCCTATTAATACAATTCAGCAACTCCAGTATTTGTTGCTGTTGGTTTTTAATTTTTTTCAAACAGACTGAAGTTCCTCTTTAATTTTCTTCTTCCCCTCTTTAAATATACTTACTTTGCCATGTAAGACAGTACGGTAGGGATTGGGAATGTGTTTACGACAGTTGTGTTAAATCTTTGTTAACGGTTTCAAATACAAAACAGGATTGTAGGATACAAAGACAAAGGTCCAAATGTACCATTCAGAGTAGCAAAAACATATAAAAATGCAAGAAATGGCAACTAAGAAAATAAGTGCACCACAAAAGTGTGAGCGCACAAGATACTCCGACCCCACACAGAACACGATGGACCAGAAATCTCCTGGGACCAAGGTGATTATATATGAACGTACCCAGGTATGAGCAGTCTATCAAAAGCTGAAAAGGTAGGGGAGCTACTCAACAGGGACAACAACAGGGAAGGGGTACAAAAGTGCAACATTGGGTATGAACCATATAATTGGTCCCAGAACCCTGATCTAATGCTACAGGGGAGAGAGAGGGAAAGCGAAATGGGGGGGGGAGGACCAAAGGGAAAAAAATGAGAAAAAGAAAAGTACTTCTGTAGCCAGGAGTGGGTAACCAGATAAAATGTAAAAGGTCTGTAAACTAGGGTAAGTGCTTACCCCTGCCCTGCGAGGAGGTCTCGTAGCTCAGAGGATTCACAAAACATTTTCCAAGAAAGCCAAAGTTGGTGGCATTGTTAATAAGTATACAGTTCTTGAGCCAGAAGGGACTCCATCCTGTCAATATGGTCCATTTCCTTAACCCACTCTACCAAGGAGGGAACCTGAGTCTTCTGCCAATGGCGAAGGATCACTGTTCTTGCCATTGTCAGGCAGAACCCCGGTAGAGAATTTGCACTAACCAGCGGGGGAGTCCTTCTTTCATAGTAAAAAATGTGATCTAATCACCACAAGGGGGAATAGCATATTCCGGAAGAGAAGGGTTGTAGGGCCCACCCAAGATGACTGCCCCAAACGAGACATTGAATTGTCCCAAATATGCAATAATTGAGACATAAGGAAAGGCATAGAAGAAGGGCCTCGGAAAGCAGGGTCAACCCAGGGTAGCCCCTGGAGATCATGGGGGGTGGGGGGGTTCTCCCATTGGGAATATGCAACAGGATGCAGAGGAACACTAGAGACAAGTTGCAAGATCCACTATATAGAAGCGGGTAAACAGCATAAGGGAAAAAGGATGGACAGCACAGAAAAAGGTAAAAATAGTGTGGACTAAAAATGAATCAGAACCGTCTATCTACTGGAATACAGTGTACAGAATATATTTTGTTCACTGGCCCAAGTAAGAACCAAAACACACAAACTTCTGTTTGCATAAGTACCCGAGGGCCACACAGTATGTTGCAAAAGTCCTCAGGTTGGGCACCAGAAGTATAGATGACTAGGGGTATTAGTTTTCTACAAGGGGGTCACCAGAAAAATAAATGCCTGGTGACATCATCTTGTGCTTTTGAAGGGGAATTCTCCCATGAGTGATAGTAAACCCACAGACACGCACCATGTGATAACATAGGCTCTAAAGAAGTCGGTATAATCGCATGACATGGAAATGGACGTGCGAGCCATTGGGGGGGACTTCTTCACATTCCCTTGTTTGCCATCATGAACCTATATTTGCAGGATAAGGGCCTGCGTCTATGAAAGTTTAGTGAATTCTAATGATGTCATGAGATTTTAAAAACTCAATTTCTGTAAGTTAGTGAGCAGGAAGAAAATACTGTTCTTGAGGAATAAAATGTAAAGTAGTTCTAAAGGTTACTTTATTTTTACCTTCGTGCATTCACAGCATTAAGGTAAAAAAGTCTCAGTACGTTAATGGCCCCCCCCCCCCCCAGTCCTAAAACACCTGTCATGGCCAGCTGGGTCCAGGATCTGTCTGCGTTGCTCCAAGAACTTCCTGTATTCTCAGCAGACACAGAGGGCAGTGGAGCAATGGTTTCATGCTACCATCAAACTGCTGGGAGGAGGGAGCAGTGACAGCTTGCTGGTATTGTGTGCGTATATATATATATATATACATACACACACAGCTTGACTCCAGGAAGTGAGCACAATACACGTGTATCACCAGAGCAAAGAACTAGCTAAAGAGATACCCACAAACAGGAGGGCAGCAGCTTTGAGACCCCCAGCTACAGGAGGAAAAGGACATTTCCCAAAGGAGGACTACACAGGTATGCATGGACCACCTCTTCTAACAAAAAACAGAGAGGGAAATTTTATCAAAACTGGAGCAGCTGTACGTGGCAAACAAATAAGAGAACAAGGGAGGCACACTGTAGTATTATTGTGTGCTTTATTCAGCAAAGGTAAGTAACCCTCACAAGAGTGTAAAAATGATCACTTGTCATCAGAAATGCACAGGTTCAGTGCAGCCCAAAAGTCCAGGGATGGAGTTCTGCTTTCACGAATGGTGAGTAACGCAGTCACAGCAGTCCCGGCATGGGAACGCCGACCAGAAATGAAGGAACCTGCGTGGAACACATGCGACCCTTACAGTGAAGTCTTGGACACGATGAACCCAAAGAGGACCTTAGGGGTCTACAGCCCAAAACATTTTTTTTAAACCATAAAGGGTCCCTGAAAAAAAATAGAGAGCAGGGAAGAATTAACATAATGTGAACAAAAGGAGAGGGGTAAAACCAACATAAAGGCGCAAAAGGTATGTGTGGTCAGATGGGAGAGGGATTTAATATACATACACTAATACTACACTCAGTGGCGCCTCCCTTGTTCTGCTATTTGTATTGCCACACAGAGCCTGCCTACTCTGAGGAATGGCTGCCACAGTGGATGAGGGTACCCCCCGCCACACATATGGACTTATGAACTGCACCCTGGGCTTATGCTATCCATCATAGTGTCCATTCTTTTATGTTCCATCACTTGTAGTCCCATTTGTTGCGCCTCTGCCCACTCTGTTTATGTACATGGCAAACAATCAGCCTCTTTCATTTTCAAAGCTTAATGAACAAGCAGGAGATAGAAGCCGATTGGATACTTTGTACAGCTGCACCAGATTCTTTCCACTCCCAGTTTTGATAAATTTCCCCAGAGTTCCACTTTAATAATAAGTCCAAAAATAACCACTTCATTTGTATTAACAGACCCTCTGGGGTTTATTTACTAAAGCTGGAGAGTCCAAAATCAGACTCCCTTCTGCATAGAAACCAATCAGCTTCCAGGTTTCATTGCCAAAGCTTCACTGAACAAGCTGAGGTTAGAAGCTGATTGGTTTCTATGCAGAAGGGAGTCTGATTTTGGACTCTCCAGCTTTAGTAAATAAACTCCCTTGTGTCTATAAATGCCATGATTTATCTCATCACATTAGAAATCATGTAACGGGGTCCAGTATGTTTTTATATTCGTTGCATTTTTTCCTTCTCATGTTTAGTTGGCTGAATCTCTGGTGCCGATGGAAATTAAACCTGGCGTCTCCTTAGCTACTGTGTCTGCCGTTCTGTATACAAAATATAACAAACACATCCTGCAGGTGAGTGACAGGGTCTGGGGCTGGGAGTTCAGTTACAGGTGGAGAAGCCAGTTACCTGGATACCCCAATGGCGTCTTCTGCAGATGTTCAGTCACTGATCTTCCACTCAGTAAACACAGCCGATATATGTAAGCCCTGTGACAGATTTACAGCATTGTGTGCCACAGTTGGGTACTGTATTAACTGCCTCCCGCCTGCCATATAAGGAAATTACGGGTGCAAGGCGGTTCTCTTGTTCTGGGAGGATGCCATATGACGTCCTCCCACTCTAACCACACATGCGCGGCTCCGGGAGCACACAGCGTGGTGATCGGTGGTGCGCTGTGTCCCTCGGACACAGTGGATCAACGGAAAGAGCCAAAGACATTGGCTCGGTCATGTGATCAGCTGTGTCCAATCACAGCTGATCGCATGTAAATAAGGAAATGCCGGTTATCGGCATTTCTGTCCTCACGAGCTGTCACGCTGACAGATCGAGAGAAGAGGCGGTAATCGGCATTTCTCAGAGGGGACATGTACACTGATCATCAGGGCACTGATGATCATTGTAGCCCCAGCAGTGCCACCTGTCAGTGTCCTTCAATGCCACCTGTCAGTGCTCATCACTGCCACCTGTCAGTGTCCATCAGTGCCACATCAATGCCACATATCAGTGCACATCTGAGCTGCCTTTCAGTGCCACCTATCAGTGCTAGTTAGTGCTGCCTATCAGTGCCATACATGAGCGCAGGCCTTTCAGTGTCCATCAGTGCAACCTACCAGTGCCTCCTCATCCGTGCCACCTATCAGAGTCCATCAGTACAGCCTATCTGTGCCCATCACTGCAGCCTCATTAGCGCACATCAGTGAAGGAAAAAAATCACTTATTTACAAAAGTTTATAACAAAAACTAAGAAAACTTTTTTTTTCAAAATTTACAGTTGTTTTTGGTTTGTTTAGAAAAAAATAAAAAAACCTGGAGGTGATTAAATACTACCAAAAGAAAGCTCTATCTGTCTCAAAAGAATGATAAAAATTTCATATGGGTACAGTGTTGCATAACTGCGCAATTGTCATTTAAAATGTGACAGCGCTGAAATCTGATATTGGCCTGGGCAGGAAGGGGGTATAAGTGCCCTGTAGGCAAGTGGTTAATTAAAACCTGGAATGTCAACAAAGCTGACGCTATGCCGAGTTTTCTCTAATACCAGCCCAGTTGGTTTAATCATGTCTTCACGGGATTGCTAAGTCCCTCTAATCACAGGGCCGCCCAGGTGGAGTGCTTCACACCTGGAGTTTTGTGCACCCAGGATGGGCAGGTGCAGCCTGTCAAAGTCTGTGGCAGGCTGCGGCTGGACAGGGCTGAGCAGTGTCCTGAGTGGTATTTCCCTTTAGGGCCCTGTGCATTCAGGGATGAAGATCCAGAACTCAGAAGACCTATGTTGTGGTCCTTCATTTTAAACGCAGGTACCAGTCCGTTCAGCCTCGTAGCCGCAGCCTACCATAGACTTTGACAGCTGCACCTATCCCTCTTAGGCACACTGCACCTAGATGGCCTTAAAAGAATTGCAGCCACACAGTGGGGCTACTAATCCCTGCAGGACTCAGCCAGTCATTGTGCATGAGCTGTCAGTGTCACCAGGCCACTCGAGAGCCTGACCCACTTCAGGGGTGAAGAGCAGAGTTTATTGTGGGCAAGATACCATCACATGCAATGACACAGACTAGGTGCCATATGGATGGAATTTAGAAATCCACACTTTATAATGGCTGTAGAGAGGTCAGCCTGCATTAGAATCAATGGGAGTATGGAAAACAAAGGTTCCAGAGAGAATTGTCCTATGTTTGTGGGCCAGAACCTTTTTTCCTGCTGGTGTGTACCGTTAACTAAGTAAGCAGAATAAACTGCCCCACCTTCTTCTCTTGGGCTACTCAAAAAAACATCGGCACTTAGCAAAGGCTCCTGTCCACATATAAACTGTAAAGTAAAATGATGAAAGCCGGTACTCAGCATCAAGTCCCTGCAAAGTTTATTTTTTAAGAAAAAAAAACGCTGTGGACTATCGTGCTGATGCAGTTCTGCTTATGAGTCATATTGAGTATGTGGCTAGGACTAACCCTAGGTTCACATATGTGCGGGTGGTGCAGCTGCGAATCCGCACGAAAATCCGTGCAGCCACACCACCCGCACAGAGGAATGCGGACCCGCAGGCGGGTGTCATTAGTTCTAATAGCACGCCACGCACACTGGAAAACGCAACCGTATTGGGAACCGAGGTTCCCATGCGGGCTGCGTTTTCAGAAGACGTGCAGTGACTTCTTCCCTGCGTGTCTTGGGGCATGGGAGTCCATTCAAATGAATGAGCTCTCGTGCCCGTGCAAAACGTTGTCCGTGAGGCCGCATATATGTGAACCAGGGGTTACGCCTCTTTGTAGACAGACACGCATCAGCATGATTGTCCAGAGCTGTTGGTTCACTTTGAAATAAACACTTGCAAGAACTTACTGGTGTGTCCAAGCTTTCATTGGTATATGTTTAACTGCCATGTGCAAGTTCTTGTACACATCAGCGGTGCTTGTTCTAGCATGCAATGTTAACTTGTGGCCTATCCAGGCATTTTTTTTCTATACAGAGGTTCTCCCAACCATGTGGGCACAAAAAGTTTCATTTAAATCTCTTCCCTAATAGATACAAAAGCTATAAATCCACTTTGTTAGCATCAAATGCCAGGCAAACTCTGATATTAACCAATTCAATACCGGGCAATTTTACACCTTCCTGCCCAGGACAGTTTTCAGGTTTCAGCGCTCTCACACTTTGAATGACAATTGCGCGGTCATACATATTGTACCCAAACTAAAATTTTATAATTCTCTTCACGCAACTAGAGCTTTCTTTTGGTGGTATTTAATCACCGCTGGGGTTTTTATTTTTTGCTAAATTAACAAAAAAAGACCAAAAAATTTTTTTAAAAAAGTTTTTCTTTCTGTTATAAAAGTTTGCAAATAAATAATTGTTCTTCATAAATTTAGGCCGAGATGTATTCTGCTACATGTCTTTGGTGAAAATAACCCAAATTAGGATGTATTATTTAGTTTGTAGGAAAGTTATAGAGTTCACAAACTATGGTATAGATCTGAATATTGATCAATCCTGAAGTACTGACAGCCAATCTAATTTCTTGAGGTCCAAGAATGTCAGAACAGTACAGATATCCCCAAATGTCAGAACAGTCAGAACAAATGTCAGAACAGTACAGATATATCAGAACAGTACCCCAAATGTCAGAACAGTACAAGATATCCCCCAAATGTCAGAACAGTACAGATGTCAGAACAGTACCCCCAAATGTCAGAACATGTACAGTACAGATATCCCCCAAATGTCAGAACAGTACAGATATCCCCCAAATGTCAGAACAGTACAGATATCCCCCAAATGTCAGAACAGTACAGATATCCCCCAAATGTCAGAACAGTACAGATATCCCCCAAATGTCAGAACAGTACAGATATCCCCCAAATGACAGAACAGTACAGATATCCCCCAAATGTCAGAACAGTACAGATATCCCCAAATGTCAGAACAGTACAGATATCCCCCAAATGTCAGAACAGTACAGATATCCCCCAAATGTCAGAACAGTACAGATATCCCCCAAATGTCAGAACAGTACAGATATCCCCCAAATGTCAGAACAGTACAGATATCCCCCAAATGATCCCTTTTTGCAAAGTAGAAAGTCCGACGTACTTCATAAGAGGCATGGCGAGTTTTTTGAAGTTGCATTTTTTTGTCATAATTTTTCGGAAAATTAAAAAATTAAAAAAATTAGTTTTCACTATTTTTTTTTTTTACTTTTACATATTGTCACCAGTACAGTACAGCGTCATCATATAACTGGCATGGCGGTGATCAGGGACACTGACTGGTGACAGTATGAAAAAAATATATATATATTTTTTTTTTAATTGTTTTTTTATTACATTTTTTTTCTTTTTTTTTTAAGATTTTTTTTCATATTTCACTATGACCAAAGTAGTACAATGTTACCATAGTAACATTGTACTACTTTGGGGAAGTGATCAGTATTTTTTTTTTTTTTTTTTACACAATTTGCTTATAGCAAAGAATTACTTTGCTATAAGCAAGCATTTACTTGAATGACATTGATTCATCATTCAGGTTTTTTTTTTTTTTTTTTTGTGCTTAGCTGTGATTTGGCCACAGCTAATCACATGACATGTGCATGTGATTAGCTGTGACCATTCACAGCTAGACACTAGTATACAATGGATGGCATGAATGAAGCCATCCATTGTATACAACTGTCATGTGACCTGCTGTGATTGGTCACAAGGTACCGGCAACGGGCCGATACTCAGATCTGTCATCAGCCGTGTCTGAGGTACATGGCCGGTGACAGATCGCGTCGCTGTACCGCTCTGCAGGAGCGCAATCTGCGCATGTGCGGAAGGACGCCATATGGCGTCCACCCGGAACGCTGATGACATTTGCCGCCCGCCATTCGGCCATAGGGCGGGCGGTAAATGGTTAAAATGGTTCCAAAGTCATAATATTTTTTACCTAAGTGCGGTCCCTGCATTAAGGTAGAAAAATGTCCTTGTAGCAATATACCCCCCTTCCCCTTCCCAAAATACTACGTACCTCAGCCCACACTTGATCTAGCGCTGTGCCCATCTATAGCGGCTCTCTCCTTTTTCCCTGCACTCACAGGGCACAGAGGCATCATTGGGAGCCATTAGCTGCTGCTGTCAATCAAATCCTGTGAGCAGGGGGCGGAGCCAAGCCATGCTGTATGAATGCACACAGCCCAACTCAGGAGCAAGCCTGCATGTCTGCCCCCATAGTAAGCAGCTTGTTATGGGGACAGGCCCAGAAGAGAGGGAGTGAAGAGTGTTGGTGGGGGACCCCAGAAGAGGCACTTCAGGGCTGCTGTGTGCAATACCATTGCACAGAGCAGACAAGTAACACGTGTTTATTATTTTAGGTAAAAAAAGTATCCTTTATCTCCACTATAACTTATAAAAGAAGCAGTGACATCACCACTGTGCTGTGCAAAACAAACTTACAGGAGGGGGGGCAGAGACGAGATTAGTCTTGCTAAACTAGGAGAAAGTAGTGGTGAGTGGTCTTTTAAACTGGATTACTGCACAGATCTGGAAGAATACACCTGGCTCTTATATTTGGATGATATTATTTTTTTTTTCGCTTGGAATTCAACTTTGAGCAAGCATAAATGTGCCCATTCATTGGACAGGGTGGAAGTTGGAAGCCTTATGCAGGCCGTAGACGGTTCGAAAATCAGCCAATTTTTCTTCCGAAAGAATAATCGGCCAGTTTTCGCACTGTTAGTGGGGCAATGGCATCGGCCGATTTTCATGGTTCCTCCTCATTTCATTTATCGGTCATGCTGGAAAATTCGTTAAACGACCAATTTTCGAAATCATTGGTGGCAACATCAGATTACAGAACGAACGATGTTTTGTTTTTCAGACGAAAAATCGTTCGGAATTCGAACCGTCTATGGCCTGCATTAGTTGCACAAATAACTTGCTGGTGACAGTGCTGTGATGATTGGTGATGTAAAGTACAGCACAGCATACAGAATGGGTTGTCTGGAGCATGTGACCTCCAGCACTGTGTACAGAGTGGGATGGCTTTGGCTTCTGCTGGCCTGCATCATATGATATTATATATAGGTATATAGGTCTCTAGACCTTTACTGAGTCTGTAGAGGGAAAACTAACCTCCCTATGCTGTTATAATGGAAGTTTCTTTGCTTTCCTGCTCAGCCTCCTCCGAAGACAGCACCGCCTCCGTCAGGGAAGAAGAGAAAGCGAGCCGCAGAGGAGAGTCCAGAGAGCCTGCCATTCAAAGCTCTGTTGAGTGGCACCATTCCCGTGGAGCAATTTGTACAGACCCTGGAGAAGGTAAGTGGAATACCTACAGATGTATTCTGTGTGCCTTCCCTCCCAGCCTGATGTTTCTCATAAGCTGGGATTTAAAGTGGTTGTATAGGCTTGTATGGGTAGCACAGTGGCTAAATGGTTAGCACTTCTGCCTGGCAGTACTAGGAACGTGGGTTCAAATCCCAACCACGGCACCACCTGCCTGGAGTTTGCGTGTTCTCCCTGTGCCTGCGTGGGTTTCCTCTGGGTACTCCGGTTTCCTCCCACACTCCAAAGACATGGTGGTAGGTTAATTGGATCCTGTCTAAATTGTCCCTAGTATGTGTATGTATGAATGTGAGTTAGGGACCTTAGATTGTACACCCCTTGAGGGTTAGGGACTGATGTGATTGTACAATATATATGTAAAGCGCTGCGTAAATTGACAGCGCTATATAAGTACCTGAAATAAATAATAATAGGCTTAAAGTGGTAGTAAAGTCCACTTTTAGATTTATACCTAGAAGTGAGCCTATAATAAGGCTTACCTGTACGTACAGTAAATATCTCCTAAAAATAAATGGAATATTAGGAATGGGTTTTTTTAGGTGCATATATTCTACTCCAACACAACATTGATTAAAATGTTAGAATTTATTTTGCGATTCAAGAAGTTTATTCAGGTTTTTTAGAAAACAGACAAAAAAAACAACATACTAAAACATGTCATTGCATAGTCAAAGCCAAAAACGTAAGAAAGTGAAAGTTTCCCATGGGAGAACCTAACAGGGGTCTCCAAACTATGGCCCAACAGGTGTTGAGGAACTGCAAGTCCCATGAGGCCTTGCAAGACTCTGACAGCCACAGGTAATACTTCCAGAGGCATGGTGGGACTTGTAATACTTCAACAGCTAGTGGGCCATAGTTTGGAGACCCCTAAAAGATACAGTAGAACAAGGCCAGAGCCATTAACCTGTATGTATACACAGAATAAAACAATACAGAGAGGCCTCGTATCCTCGTTTTTAGATGGTAAGAGGAGTGATGATGGATCTCAGTACAAGTCCTTACAGAATAAACGTTTATTGAACAACTAGATGTAAGGTTAGGGAATATACCATCAGTAAAGTAAGGGTGGGGAAGTGATGGGCTTGTAGTGAAGGGACTGCAGATGCGCAGAGAGAAAAAAAAAAAATGGGGGTAAGAAGGGGGGGGGGGGAGAATAGAGGAAGATTTAGATCAAAGAAGGATGAATTGTCCCTAGACATTTTTATTCTCTTAAAGAGCCATGGGGTGACAGCAGGAAGGGGTTAAAGCAAGCTATTCCATGCCAGAGGAAGTGAATCTTTATTTTTTTTTTTTTTTCTTAACCAGTTTATGTGCCCAAACGTCCTTGGATGGGAAGAATGATATCTTGGTCATCTTTAGACCAGCAATTCCGCTGAATTGTTTTTTACAGGATGCAGAAGGGTGTTTCACTGCCCGCTGCATTTACTGGGCTCTTCAGTGCTATTAGAGAGCCCAGTAGGGATGCGTCCCGCAGCATTTTTTTCCTGAGACACAGTGGGAGGAACAGATGTCATAAAGGCTTTTAATTCGTTGCCATGCCATGTTGGGTATCTATTTACTCATCAAGACACCATCCTTAATAGTTTGCCAGAAATGTGGGTATTAATATTGTGTTTTTGTGCATTTGAATTGTGTTTGAAAAACCACTATGCAAATGTGATATAAAAAATTTCAAAACCCACCATTGTATTCTCCAGTGCCTCTGCTTAAAAAATATATAATGTTTGGGGGTTCTAATGTAGCAGAGGAATATCAGAATTGGCATGGACTGGAAGTTGGTTAAATTCTTCTTTTTTTTTTCAAAACTACATTAAAAACAAATGTACAAAAACACATGAGATCACAGTAACCGGGAAAAAGTAAATATAAAAAACTAGACATAAACATGTAAAAGTATGAGGAAGTGAATCTTTAAGTGTGTTCTATCTTTGTTTGGTCTGTAGTGGAGGATAATGATATTGGTGGTCTTGTCACTGTATGATGTACTGACTGCCCTCTTCCAATTGCAGCACGGGTTCAGCGATGTGAAGATAGAGGACACTGCGAAGGGTCACATCGTCCACTTACAAGAGGCCGATACTCTCATCCAGTTCGAGGAAGACTCCACCCATATCATCTGCGAGCACGACGAACGACTCCGGGTTCGTCTTAGGGACATGGTACTGAAATTCTTGCAGAAATTTTAGACTGACCACTGTTCCAGATCTCCGAGAAGGTACAATTTTTGAACATTGGACTGTATTCCTAAAGTTGGCATCCAGGGCGAGGTCTATCACTCAGTTGCTGTCTATTTGATGGACAGACAATGGTGTTCATAGTAAATTGTCCTTTTAAGAGGATCTTTAAACCTGTGTAAATGTGCATACGTGTACAGATTTGTGTAATTACATGTATTTTTATCTCCAAATGTCGTCTGGGTTTTTTTTTTGTTTTTTTGTAATATTTTCATTGTAAAGGGATAGGTTCACATTTAGTAGCATGTTACATATTTAGGATGTAACATGTTACTAGTGCAGCCCCCCTGTTCACTTCCTCCATTCCGCATCGTGACAGCGAGCAGAGGTTCTTTTCCCCAATCCTGCGGTTACATTTAGAAAATGCAGGAGTCTGTGAATGAATAAACTGCAAGTCCCATCCGCCACTGCAGCAGACAGACTTGTAGTATCAATGAACTGCGAGCAAGCTGACCGGCATACTTGTAGTTCATTCACACTGCCTACAGCTCAGGAACTGCCTGCCTATATGGAGAGCTCCTGGAACACTATGCACATTTATTTTATTTTTTTTTACTTGGCTTTTTAACCCTTTTGCTGCCAGAACCGTGTTTTTTGTTTTTTTTTTTTTTTTTTTTTTTTAAATCCTTTTAGGCCTGAAGATTGCATAAAACCCCCGAAATATTTATTTTCTGAAATCAGACACCCTAGAGAATAAACTAGTGGTAGTCCAATTTTTTATCTTACATGATATTACTGCAAAGATCGGTGGTATTTCTCTAATAGGTGACAATTGGGGAACTAACCCTATATAGAGATTGCATTTCAAAATGAACAGTGGGAGTCCGCAGAAGAGGTGCAAAAAGCCCAACTAATAGATCTCTTAAAGTGAATAGATGCATAATATGAGTCACTATATGTGTTCTCTAATGTCAAAATCCCATTCTATATACAGACAGTCCCCGAGTTACAGATATCCGACTTACATACAACTCGTACTTAGGACTGGAGGCAGCATGACGTCACTCTGGTCCAGGAATCCCCCGGGCGGCCATTTTGCTGTTCCCTGCATGCTAACATCTACTGTCCGGCGGACCTGTCAGCAAACCCACATCATGCATGGCCAGTTAACCTTTCCCTATGCTATCCAGAACATAAAAAAATAAGTGAATTTGTACCTGTCCCAGCTTACATACAGATTCAGTTTAGGAACAAACCTACAGAACCTGTCTTGTTTGTAACCTGGGGACTTCCTGTACTCACTAAAATAAACAATGCTGGTATATGTCCAGAGGGGGGCACCACCCCTCAACACACTGGCCTTGGGTACTGCATTATCATTATCATTATTATTATTATTATACAGGATTTATGGCACCAACAGTTTGCTCAGCACTTTATAATGTAACGGGAGACAATACAGCAACAATACAGTTCAATACAAGAGGATTAGGAGGGCCTGATCCTGGGAGCTTACAATCATGACATGTTGGTTCTAAAAAATGCCAAAAAAGCATTTATATAATCGTCCACAAATATTAGCATCTCGCATATAACATTTTCTGAAGAGCCTTTTCTCAAAAAGGTGTTAAACCCAAAATCAAAAAATTTATATATTGTACCTTACCAATTATATGTGGTGGCTGCATCATTTTTCTATTCTTTGGCTTTTCCCCTTCTGTTTTTACCTGGTGATCTGGCCAATACCACACCACCTGTGTTGGAACACCTCCACTCTGGAGGAGTGAGCACAGAAGGCATAGCATAGAGCAGCATTATCAGTCTGGGGGGAGGGGAGGGTTAAATGTAGCGGATTGAGAACGAATAACAAATTGAAGCCAAACTCCAGCTCACACTTTATAGTCAGTTACAGCAGTTTTTTTTCCGTTTTGGATAAAGGTTATACATGAATAAATAAAAACTGATCATTGTAAGCACCCCTGCCAGTGGTAAATACTTTGTTTCATCCATGTAAACTGATACATTCCTCACTGTATCCTGAAATTGCCATAAAATGGGGATATATTTTAAAAACCTCCCGAAATATCCGTCATTAAAGGTAGGTATAGTCCAAAAACTTGAATCCCCAAAAAAATATAATATCCACTTCCATAAAGTCTGGTTATACTGGAGAGGTTTTCCCCCAAGGCAGGAAGGGAAATTAAATCTACCCAATGGACACGCGCACATGCACACGCAAACACACACACACTTTGATATGGGGTTCTCAAGTGAGGCCTTCAACTCACCAGGGCTGCACATACCATTTAGAGAATATTCAATGTCAGACAGCAGACATGACATGGGATATAGTCAAAGACTCTGAACATGACACAAGATATGGTCAGAGACTACAGACATGATAGAAGAGTTGTATAGAGACTGCAGACACTGCACAGCAGATGATCACAGACTGCAGACACGGCACAGGAGATGGTCAGAGACTGCAGACACGGTACAAGAAGTGGTCAGTCACTGCAGACATGGCATATGAGATGGTCAGAGACTGTGGTCATGATACATGAGATGGTCAGAGACTGCGGACATGGTATAGGAGATGGTCATAGAGTGCAGGAATGGTATATGAGATGGTTAGAGACTGCAGACATGATACAAGAGGTGGTCAGACACTGAGTACATGGTATATGAGATGGTCAGAGACTGCAAACACAATACAAGAGATGTTCAGAGATTGTGGACATGATGCAGGAGATGTTCAGAGACTGCAGACAAGGCATAGGAGATGGTCAGGGACTGCAGTCTTGATAGAGGAGATAGTCAAAGAGTGCATGAATGGTATATGAGATGGTCAGAGACTGCAGACATAGTACAAGAGGTGGTCATTAGCTGTTTACATGAGTATATAAGATGGTCAGAGACTGCGGACATGGTACAGGAGACGGTCAGAGACTGTGGACATGGTACAGGAGACGGTCAGAGACTGCGGACATGGTACAGGAGACGACCAGAGACTGTGAACATGGTACAGGAGATGGTCCGAGACTGTGGACATGATAGAGGAGACAGTCAAAGAGTGCAGGAATTGTATATGAGATGGTCAGAGAGACTGCAGACATGATACAAGAGGTGGTCAAACACTGCTAACATCGTATACGAGATGGTCAGAGACTGTGGACATGTTATATGAGATGGTCAGAGACTGAAAACATGATACAAGAGATGTTCAGAGACTGCAGACATGATAGAGGAGATGGTCATAGAGTGCAGGAATGGTATATGAGATGGATAGAGACTGCAGACATGATACAAGAGTTAGTCAGAGACAGGACTCATGATACAAGAGATGTTTAGAGACTGTGGACATGGTATATGAGATGGTCAGAGACCAGAAATAAATGAATAAGTTATTCCAAAAAAATGCTCTGCAAGCACAGTGGAAATGCACACAAACACGCATGCAGAAACGCACAGTAAATACAGAGATTGGGGTGTGAATGAGCCTTTTATGAGTTGCTGGTAAGGATATCCATAGACAAAAAAGAAAAAAAATCTTTGTAGATCTGCAACAAATTTCACCAAATGCCATTTAGGTGTCCTCATTATAAAAAAAAAAATACATTTAGGTATACTTATTTAAAAAAAAAAAAAAATACTTAAAAAAATACAATTTGCAGACATTCATACAGCATTAAACAGATAAGGATCTTTATTTTCAGTCGGGTGTCCTTTTTGAATTTGCTGGCACTGTGCCCTAAATAACTGTTGTCATTTTGTTTGTTTTTAAATAAAGATATGCTTGTGTTGAATGGAGTCTGTTGGCAGTTATTTCCCTGCATGTCACTCTAAGCCCCGCCCACTTCACTGTGATGTCATCAACAGATTCTAAAAATAGAATCGTGCAGCAGCTTCAGTCATTCTCTTTGTATCTTGCGATCAAAGAGAAAGCGATTTCTGCGTCTCTGGTGTTTCATTATCTGACACTGCTCAGTGTTGGAAAATGACATATTTTCAGAGAGTGAAGACGGAAAGAAGAGTTCCTCTGAACAACAACAAAGAGGAACATGCGGAGATGGTGAACCTCTTTCCAGAGGATCACCAGCACATTGAAAAGACGAATACCACCTCCTCACCAAAAATGAGGGGGTGGAAGGCATTTACGCGTGGATTAAGGAGAGTTGTCAGCTGTATTTGCCCCTGGTGTGCCAAACAGGGGAAGAAGATGGATGCAACAGGTAAGGATTGTGACAGTGACATCTAATGGAAGGCTCTGCCATAGAACATTATGGACGTCACTATTTTTAAATATCTGAATTATACCCCACAAATTGACAATTTATACATCATTTCACCAACATTTCTACCAAAAACAAACATTAGTATTTTAGGGAGAATGGATGCCCTGGTATTGCTCTATATACATATACTAGCATCACTACATACATACACATACCGGGATCCCTGCTATATACACGTACCGGGATCCCTGCTATATACACGTACCGGGATCCCTGCTATATACACGTACCGGGATCCCTGCTATGTACACGTACCGGGATCCCCGCTATGTACACGTACCGGGATCCCGCTATGTACACGTACCGGGATCCCCGCTATATACACGTACCGGGATCCCTGCTATATACACCTACCGGGGTCCCTGCTATATACACGTACCGGGATCCCCCTGCTATATACACATACCGGGTTCCCTGCTATATACACTACCGGGATTGCCTGCTATATACACGTACCGGGGTCCCTGCTATATACACCTACCGGGGTCCCTGCTATATACACCTACCGGGGTCCCTGCTATATACACCTACCGGGGTCCCTGCTATATACACCTACCGGGGTCCCTGCTATATACACCTACCGGGGTCCCTGCTATATACACATACCGGGTTGCCTGCTATATACACATACCGGGGTCCCTGCTATATACACCTACCGGGGAGATACCGGGTCCTGCTATATACACCTACCGAGGTCCCTGCTATATACACCTACCGGGGTCCCTGCTATATACACCTACCAAGATCCCTGCTATATACACCTACCGGGGTCCCTGCTATATACACATACCGGGGTCCCTGCTATATACACCTATTGGGATAATTGCTATATACACCTACCGTGATCTCTGCTATATACACCTACCGGGATCCCTGCTATATACACCTACTGGGATAATTGCTATATACACGTACCGAGATCCCTGCTATATACACGTACCGAGATCTCTGCTATATACACCTACCGGGGTCCCTGCTATATACACCTACCGGGATCCCTGCTATATACACGTACCGAGATCTCTGCTATATACACCTACCGGGGTCCCTGCTATATACACCTACCGAGATCCCTGCTATATACACGTACCGGGATCCCTGCTATATACACGTACCGAGATCTCTGCTATATACACCTACCGGGGTCCCTGCTATATACACCTACTGGGATCTCTGCTATATACACCTACCGGGATCCCTGCTATATACACTACCGAGATCTCTGCTATATACACCTACCGGGATCCCTGCTATATACACATGTACCGAGATCCCTGCTATATACACCTACCGGGATCCCTGCTATATACACCTACCGGGGATCCCTGCTATATACACCTACCGGGGTCCCTGCTATATACACCTACCGGGGTCCCTGCTATATACACCTACCGGGGTCCCTGCTATATACACCTACCGGGGTCCCTGCTATATACACCTACCGGGGTTGCCCTGCTATATACACCTACCGGGGTCCCTGCTATATACACCTACCGAGATCCTTGCTATATACGCCTACCGGGATCCCTGCTATATACGCCTACCGGGATCCCTGCTATATACACGTACCGGGGTCCCTGCTATATACACGTACCGGGATCCCTGCTATATACACGTACCGAGATCCCCGCTATATACACGTACCGAGATCTCTGCTATATACACCTACCGGGATCCCTGCTATATACACCTACCGGGATCTCTGCTATATACACCTACCGGATCTCTGCTATATACACCTACCGGGATCTCTGCTATATACACCTACCGGGATCTCTGCTATATACACCTACCGGGATCTCTGCTATATACACCTACCGGGATCTCTGCTATATATACACCTACCGGGGTCCCTGCTATATACACCTACCGGGATCCCCTGCTATATACATGTACCGAGATCTCTGCTATATACACCTACCGGGTCCCTGCTATATACACCTACCGGGGTCCCTGCTATATACACGTACCGAGATCTCTGCTATATACACCTACCGGGATCCCTGCTATATACACCTACCGGGGATCCCTGCTATATACACACCGACCGGGATCCCTGCTATATACACTACCGGGATCTCCTGCTATATACACCTACCGGGATCCCTGCTATATACACCTACCGGGATCTCTGCTATATACACCTACCGGGATCCCTGCTATATACACCTACCCTGGATCCCTGCTATATACATGTACCCGAGATCCCTGCTATATACACCTACCAAGATCCCTGCTATATACACATACCGGGGGATCCCTGCTATATACACCTACCGAGATCCCTGCTATATACACGTACCGAGTTCTGCTATATACACCTACCGGGATCCCTGCTATATACACCTACCGGGGTCCCTGCTATATACACCTACCGGGGTCCCTGCTATATACACCTACCGGGTTGCCTGCTATATACACTACCGGGGTTGCCTGCTATATACACATACCGGGATCCCTGCTATATACACCTACCGGGGTCCCTGCTGCTATATACACGTACCAAGATTCTGCTATATACACCTACCGGGATCCCTGCTATATACACCTACCGGGATCCCTGCTATATACACGTACCGGGGTCCCTGCTATATACACGTACCGGGATCCCTGCTATATACACGTACCGAGATCCCCGCTATATACACGTACCGAGATCTCTGCTATATACACCTACCGGGATCCCTGCTATATACACCTACCGGGATCTCTGCTATATACACCTACCGGGATCTCTGCTATATACACCTACCGGATCTCTGCTATATACACCTACCGGGATCTCTGCTATATACACCTACCGGGGTCCCTGCTATATACACCTACCGGGATCCCTGCTATATACATGTACTACCGAGATCTCTGCTATATACACCTACCGGGATCTCTGCTATATACACCTACCGAGATCTCTGCTATATACACCTACCGAGATCCCCTGCTATATACACGTACCGAGATCTCCTGCTATATACACCTACCGGGGTCCCTGCTATATACACTACCGGGGTCCCTGCTATATACACATACCAGGATCCCTGCTATATACACCTCCCGGGGTCCCTGCTATATACACTACCGAGATCTCTGCTATACACACCTACCGGGATCTCTGCTATATACACTTACCGGATCTCTGCTATATACACCTACCGGATCTCTGCTATATACACCTACCGGGATCTCTGCTATATGCACCTACCGGGGTCCCTGCTATATACACCTACCGGGATCCTGCTATATACACCTACCGGGATCTCTGCTATATACACCTACCGGGGTCCCTGCTATATACACCTACCGGGGTCCCTGCTATATACACCTACCGAGATCTCTGCTATATACACGTACCGAGATCTCTGCTATATACACCTACCGGGATCCTGCTATATACACCTCCGTGATCTCTGCTATATACACCTACCGTGATCTCTGCTATATACACCTACCGGGATCTCTGCTATATACACCTACCGGGATCTCTGCTATATACACCTACCGGGGTCCTGCTATATACACCTACCGGGATCCTGCTATATACACCTACCGGGATCTCTGCTATATACACCTACCGGGATCTCTGCTATATACACCTACCGGGGTCCCTGCTATATACACCTACCGGGATCCCTGCTATATACATGTACCTACCGGGATCTCTGCTATATACACCTACCGGGGATCTCTGCTATATACACCTACCGAGATCCTGCTATATACACGTACCGAGATCCCCGCTATATACACGTACCGAGATCTCCGCTATATACACCTACCGGGATCCCTGCTATATACACCTACCGGGATCCCTGCTATATACACATACCGGGATCCCTGC